GGACAGAGTGAGGTGGTATGAGATAGGCAGGGGAGGTGATTCAATCAGAGAAAATAATCCAGGTTGAAATGATAAGTTCATGGGCTGCAGGTTCTTGATTAAAACCAGTAGAAATAGCCAAAAGGTCCTTGTGGACAGATTCCAAAAGACAGGAGTCTACAGACAAAGGGTGGGTTATGAGAAGAAGAAGTTCTGAACCGTCCAGCAGACTAACCTGAAAGTAGATTCTGCCATGTAAACAAGCCACGTGGCAGCTCCAGTCAGCTCCAGAAAGCTCAGCTCTGAGCAGGTCACTCCCTGGTTGAACTGCCTTCCGGTCTCCCTCACTGTCCTGCTATCAAGCCAGAGCCAGGAAAGGTGGGGAGGTTGAGGCAAGTGCTGAGAAAGATCAGCCATTCAGGCAGGATTCTCTCTCCCTCAAGTCACAACCCAAGCCTCTGTCTCCCACCCTCTGTTTGTTCCCAGGCCTTAGCTAGCATCTTCAGTGAACTGAAGTCTTAAAATAGCATGATTTATTAACTGTATTGAAGGGTAGCCATGCACCATGCACTTGAATCCTCACAAAGCCAGGAGTGGTAAAGCCCCATTTCACAGATGAGGACACCGAGGCTCAGATTGGGTATTGGATCTGTCCAAGGACACATAGCTAGTAAGTTGCAGAGGCAGGGCTGAGCCACCAAAGCCCAAGTACCAACCCAGTAAACTATAACATTTTTGGAAGACAACTCCAGTCCCCCAGCTCCAGGCTGCCTCGGGTGCCACAGTCACACTCAGTCCTGGAGAAGCCATTGCCCCCATGGGTCTGCAGCGGACCTCCCCCCAGGCCTGGGCAGCTGGTTCGCAAGGGGCGATGGCGGCAGCTAGAGCCTGTGCCCCGAATTAGGTTGGGGTCGTAGGGGAGACCGCCAGCAGGAAGTAGCTAAGGAAAGCACTCAGGACCGGGCACTTGGGGAAACCTGAGCAGGCGCTGAGCCCCTGGAGGCTGAATCCCAGTTGTGTTGAGCGCCGCCGCCAGGCCGCCAGTGCAGACGCGAACTCTCCAGTCCTTGTTTGATGAGCAGCGGCCAATAAATTCATTAATCATCATTTTATGCCTCATCAAACCCCTCCAAGCCCCTCCATGGGAGTTACACAAATTAGCCCCTGAAAAGACAGTAATTTCAGTTTAGCGAGGTAAGTGCTTTCTGATGGGCTCCGCTTACAGAGCTCTCCTGACAAGCCGATCCATCAGCGCGTTGGGCACGGGGCGTGGCCGGGACGCCCTGCCCGACCGGGCCTCCCTCCCACCCAGTCCTTCGCAACCTGGCCAGTCCAGCCCTCCCGCCCACAGTGTCTCAGCCTAGGGCGCCCCTCACCACCGACTGCTGTGCACCCATTCTCGGCAGGTTGTCTCATCAGGTCTCTCTCCCAAGCCCATCCCGACCTCCTCGCAGCCCTTCTGAACATGAGAGAAACTGCAGGAACGAAAAACTAAGACCCCAAAATGGAAAACAAACTTGTTGGGAAGGAGGATGCGCTGTCCTTGAGGTTCGAACTCCCGCCCCAGGGAGGCAAGAGCCAGGCACCCCTTTCTCCTAATGTCTGGTTTTCGGGGTTCCGCGACCCCTTGCAAAGACTTAAGGGCTCTGTGTATTGTGTTCCTACATTATTTGGGAGAAAAGGGGTTAATCCATGTCTTCCAGCTGATTCTGAAAGAAATCTCATGCTCCAAAAAGGGGCCTTGTGGGAACAGAGAAGGGGGTCCTTCCTTCTCGAGGGCGGCTCCGCAGGACCCTGGAGGCTGGAGGGTCGCACCTGGTCTTTTTCATGGCCCTCGCGTCTTTTTCTGAAACCTCCAATTGGGGTGGAAGACGACGCCTGGGGAATGAAGAAGATGCCTGGGAAAGAAGATAGGAAGGATATTCTATGGAATGGGCCCAGCCAGTACGACCCAAGCATGGGGACTTGGGTAAGAAAGGAGAGGGGGACAAACCGAGGTGGAGAAAAGAGAAAGTTGTGGCGAGGGTCGGGTATTTGCAAGCGCGATGCCAACATCACGCCTTCTCACTTTCCCAGCCTGGCGCACAGAAGGTCCTGCGGGGACCCTATCTAGCGGGCAGGGCCAGTGCAAAGCAGGTCGACAAGGAGTTGCAGCCCACGCGGAGCCGGTCGGCCGGCGTGCTACCGCTTCGGAGAGCTCGAGTGCCAAGCGCTGCGCTGCTCCTTCATTAGCTTCCCCTCCACGCGGCGCTGCATGCCTCGGAAAATAAGTTAGCAAACGGGGAGCCGTTTATCTCTTTTATCTTGGGGCCTGATCCAATTAAATAAGTGCACATTTACATTTGCATCCATCAGGCGGGAGCGCTGAGAGCCCGGGGTTTGCTTGGAGCAAATAAAAGCAGATTTCACTGGGAAAGTGGTGTCTGGGCGCCCTGGGCTCGTCCCGGTGCCGGAAACGAAAGCTGCCCGGCGAGCGGCCTTGGGGACCCAGGGCTGGGACCTGCGGCTGACAAGAGGCCAGAGACCCCCACTGGCCCCGAGAGGCCGCCCAGCGCTGGAGGTGCGGCCAGAGCTGCAGCTAAGCCCCCGAGGCGATCTGCTGTTAGGCCACAACCTGGGCTCGACTAGTGCCCGGGGCCCAAGTCGCAGTAATCGTGAAAACGAAAAGGAGATCCGCTCTGCGCTGGACACAAAGGAAGACCCGCGGGGTGGGTCTAGGGACAGTCCTGAAGTTTTAGCCAGTTTAAGGGGAAGGCGGGCGCCAAGGTCCCAGTCGGGCCCGATTTCCCTCCTGTTCGATGGCCGGGCGACCAGGGAAACAAAGATCCAGCCTGAGGGCGCGCCCGGCTTTCCCCAACAACCCTGCACCTGAGGGAGAACAGTGAACACAACCTATGAGGGCTTCTGGAGGGATAGGGCGAAGCCGAGGTGAGCACCGCAGGCCTTGCCACGCTGACCTCATGAAAGTTCTTTTCGAAATAGGAGGGTTCGACGCAATGGGAGGGTACTTTTGTTTTGTTTTTCCTTTTTCTACAGATGTTCACCCACAGGCCAAAAACTCTAAAGACCAAAACGGTCTTTGGGGCGCGGTTGCACGGTAGCACCCCCATTTTCCAAACCGCAAATTAAAACTGCGCGGGGTCCACAGTTTGAACGTGTAAGGGCCCGCAGGAGTGGAAAAGAGTACACCTGATGCAGGGCGGGAGCTGCCGGGCGCTCAGGGTTGCAGCCCCCACCCGCAGGCTATTTCAGCCGGTAGCATATTTCTCAACTGCCTACGCCTGTATTTTTGAAATGTGCTGAAGCTGTGGCGGGAACCGGTAGGGTTAACACTGTTCAAGTCATGGGCCCTGCTCCCCAAATCCCGAATGCTAACTGGGTCTTAGGTCCAGGGCTGTGGCGCGTTGGGGTGGAGAAGCAGTTTAAGTTTCTCCGGGCCAGAGTTCAAAGCTAAGGCCCCACGGTGGGTGCGGGGATAGCTGGGGTCTCCACTCGTCCCCCTCCCTGCGAATCGCATGGTTCCCGGGGACCGGTAGGCGGCGCCCTTCCTAAACTGCATCCGCGTCTGGCTCAGTCATGGGAGCGCAATTACATTCCTTTCACTTTGGGCGGTTTGCATTGCGCTGTTCCGCGCTTCGGTCCGAGTCGGCAGCTAACTGTGCGGGACAGGTGGACTAGGAGGCACGGCCGGTTCCAAAACCTTACGCGCGACCCTCCCTCCCCCTCAATCTTCTAGGTCCCAAGGGCTGCGCATGGCACCCGGAATAAGCGGCCTGGAGGGGTTTGCAAACCAGGAGGCCTTGCTGCAGACCCCGCACCCGGGTTGGGGGAACAGCATTTCGGGCCTTGGTACCCGGAGTGTAGGAGCGGGAAGAAGAAAGGAATCTCTCCTGACTCCCAAATTCCATGAACTGATTCGGCCCGGCACAGAGCAGGTTCCCGTTTTTGCACTGCCTCAGGGGACTGCTTACAGAGACCCCATGCAGTGATCCCGTGACCCCTGTTGCTAGACATCCAGCGGCTTCTGGTCCCTAAATGCCAAGGTAGGCGTTTCTTGAGGCCCAGAAACTGTCTAGCCAGGCGCAGGTGGCAAACGCCAGCACAGTCTCAGCACCTCGGGACCTTAGGCTCTGCCTCGCGCAACGTCTGCGCCCCATTCCATGCCTGATAACAAACCCTGAACCCCGTACACGCTGGAAATTTTCCCCAGAGCGTCTAAGAGGCTTCGCCTGCTGGAGGGCCCGAGACGCAAAGGAGAGGCTCCGGGAGGAACTTGGGATCCTACAGACACGCAACCACTTCTGGGGTTAAGCGAGGGAGACATTTCCTAAATGCCCTGAACCCCCCATTTACCTGGTAGGCCACCTCCAAACTCAAAGTCGCTAAACACCAGAAAAACTGGTGACCACCGAAACCCAGCTCTGTAAAGAAGAAAAACCCAGACGTAATTGGGTGCTAGTACTGAAGACCAAGTGCGCATAGAAAACCGCAGACCCTGCGGAGGCCCAGGGCGGGAGGATGCGGGCAGGGGTCACCGACTCAGGCAGCAGCCGCCGAGCCCCCAGCGGTTTAGCTCCTCAGCCGGGAGGCTCCCCGCGCAGCCCCTGGATGAAGAGAAACGCCTGGCGCTCCCGGGTGCGCGGTTCCCGTTCCCAGGCAGCTCGGCGGGCATTCAGCTCCCAGCCCCGAGCCTTCGCGGTCTGATTTGGGAGGCCTGCGCCCTGCCATTTGCATATTCCCGGGAACACTGGGAGGCCTGTAATTTTCTTTTTAAAATCGTTGGGCAGGGTTTAGGGCCAATGCTTCCAAAACCCCGCCGAGTTGATGTCCTTAAAGTCTCCCTTAAGAGAAGGGGACTGGCCTATTCTTCTGACTTTTTTAGAAAAGGTGACTCCTGGGGCTGCATATTCAACAGGGGGGAAAGCTGATTGTGAACCAGGCTGTGGGGGAGGGAGGGGAGAGTAGAGGGGGATGAGGCGCGGGGTGGGGGGAGAAAGAGCGAGGGCAAGTCATCTTTGGAATTCAATTGTTTAAAAAAATCATTTATAATTAAAGGGACAAAATAAAATACGATCGTCTCATGCATATTTAATCATTCACACTTCCAGCTTTGAAACCATTTTCCCTGCGTGAATTTTCTCACTAATTTAAACCCTGAAGTCCACCGCTGTTTGCTAAAACATCTGGACAATGCAGCTTTCAAACTTGTTTAAATTCGAATAAGCTTAAAGGAGCTCCGTGGCAGGTTAAAAAAAAAGAAATAGCAAAAGCAACTCCAGTGAAACTTCGGGGTGGGTTTAAAACACTGAGTTAAGGTTAAAGTCATCTTCAGTAGAAATGCAAATATGTGCATTTTGATTTAGCCTAATTAAGCCGGTGTTATGTGCAAACACATTCCCTCTCTACACTCAGGCTTGGGTTTAATAGAGCAAATTAATTCCCCTCGCTGGGATATGTTTTTGCTATAACACGGACCCCCACTCCCTCCCCCAACCACTGAAAATTTCCCACGAAGTAAAACGCGTCCGGGCTCCAGATCTCGGCTGCAAAATGGAGCCGTCAGCACCGCAGCCAATCCCGAACCCACATCGTTGGCCGGCCTCCGGCGCAGGGCGTTGATTCTTCCTCATTAGGGATTCAGATGCATCCTGACTTTTCATTTTGAGATGAAGTATGCGGGATTAAAACGAGAAAATAAAACCCCAAAAATATTTTTGTAGCTGCTCGGATTCTTGCATCTAAGCTGGGAAAAGTGCTAAAGCGACGACAAGCCTGATGGAGTCCACAACGGCCTCGTTATCTAGGCAAATGGCCTCGAACTTCTGAAGGCCACTTGTCCGAAAAGAGGCCCGTTGTGAGGGGGAGGGATCCTTTCAGGGGCTCCCCTTGCTTCCCCCAAGTGGCTGTGGCGCTCCCTCCTCCCCCTCCGCCCACTCTGCAATCTCCGACTCTGCAAAGTGCAGGCTTGAAATTCAGGACAAGTGTGACACCTACCTGTGAAAGGGGGAAACCGTCCCCTCGCCCGTCCCGCTCGACCCCAGCCCCGTAGCTGAGCGGACACTCCTGCGCCGCCCGCCACCCGCACCGTCTGGGATGGAACGTTCATAATTTAATCAAATCCAAAAAGATCAATGCCCAAATTTGAAGGGGCAGAGAAGAAGACGGTGACTTGGGAAAGCCTTCCTCTTGGCATCCCTGAATACTCCCCCCCGCATTAGCCCGAAGCACCCTTGAAATAGTAATAAGGGCTAAATCCGGCATAAAATCGAACTCATTAGCAAAGTTCACCAGCTGATTACTTTGCATAAAACACGACACTGATTGGAAGTAATTAGGTTAAGCGATGGCGCTCGGGTGGTGCGTGTCCCTAACTGGCTTTGCCATCTTTTCTCCCTTCTGGGTACACACTTGGGTCTCTCTTCTCCTTCCTCCAGGGTCCAGTCTCTCCCAAACAGCCCGCATCAGTGATCCAGATCTGCTTTCTGGGCAGGGCCAGGTTCCCCCGGGCTTGCAACCTAATTATGTTTTTCCCCTGGCACACTTGAAGGTCTGTGGAACCTTTCAATCCCCACTTTGAAAAAAGTTGCAGTTTGCACCTTTTGACCAAGGCAATGGACAGTTTATTGAGGCTTCTAAAAAGTAATGAGTGGCTCTCATTATGTTAAAATCTCTTTTAATTAAATATTTTGCATTTTACAAAGGCGCCTGCAGTTTCTTTCACTTTTTAAATCTAAGAGTATAACCTGTTTCCTTTCTGTAATAATACTTTAGCTCATACCCAGCAGAATCAATAGGTGTAAAAAATTAAATTAAACTTGTATTTTTAAACTATGAAACAGTTTTGGGGAAACACAAATGTATATATTTATATTACAAAAAAACATTAAATGCCTGTACAGGTGTCTTGATTTCATAATTTACTTCAAAGATAATGAATTATCAATTTAAATACAAAAATGCTACATTAAATATACAGAATAAGATTTAATACAAATCCTTTTTTAATTTTTCTTTTCGGTTGGTTAAGACTTTTGTGTGTGTGTGTGGAGATGTTTACATTTTTATGCCATCCATCTCCATAAACTATAAACTTTTGAATAGGAGGGGTAGTTTATTTTTTTTTCTCTCTTTCTCAGTGATGGAAAAATAACTGCCAAGGCCATGTTTTTAATAAATTAGAAAAGTCCGGGACCGACGCAGCCCGCGTTAAATGTCGGACATACCTTTCTTCAATTCATAGGGAGAGTCTTTGCACAGGTCTAGCTGAGACTGGCTCCGCAACATTTTCGGGTCTTTAGCCAAAGCGTCCGCTCGGTTCAACACGGTCTGGTTTAATCCATTGAAATGAGACCCCGGACCGGTTGTGGGCCCTGGCCCGGGCCCTGGGTGGCCATGAAGGTGTCCGAAGGAGCCATAGTTCGTGTAGCCGGGATAGAAGGGCGCGGTGTAGTAGAGAGGCCGGGACAGCACCGTCCCGCCTGGAAAAGGACACTGCGCCGAGGGCGAGCGCGATGGCGCCGGGGCCGGCGACGCACGGCTGCCTCCTAGGGCTTGCCCAGCTATGGGCCCGGGACACGGTGGGCATGGAGAGCCCTCGCTCCCGCCACCCCCGTCCTTGACCTTGTCCGAGGATGTGGCGATCTCTGCCAGAGACCACAATTTGGGCTTGGCGAGCACCGCCGGAGGCGGCGGCGGAGGCGGCGAATGGATAACCGAGGGCCCGCCGGGACCCGGGGGCAGCTCTCCCGCGGCTGGATGCGGGCCCGGCGCCGGCGCGCCCGCGGGGTAGTGAGGGGCCGGGTCCTCCGCCAGCCGCGCCGCCGCTGGCCCAGCCGGGGAGGGCCCGCCGGTGCGGGGGGCGCCCTGCAACGCGTCGAGGCGGCCCTCCGAGGGCGGCTCCTTAAAATCCGAGTCGCTGAGGCTGCCCTCGGTCTCCTTGCTGGCAGGGGTGGGTGGTCCCTGAAGCCGTTCGCAGCCCGAAGCCGCCTTCTGCTCAGCTCCTCCTGCGGGTGAAACCCAGGCTGTCAGAGGCGCAGTGGCCGCGCGGCGGGACTCGGTTCCCGCCCGCAAAGGTAGAGACCCCTGCTCCCAACCTCCAGGCCCCGTGCGCGCCCCCTCTAGGTCTCTCTTTTCCTTTTTACTCCCGCCCAACACGCCCGTTCCCGTGTCCACCAACCTGCTTCGGGGCCCTCGGGGTCGCCCTTGTCCTCGGGCTTCTGGGGCTCGTCCTCGTCGTTCTTCTCCAGGTCAATGTTCTCCTCCTCTTCTTCGTCCTCGCTGCGGTTCCGCGGCGTCCACGTCATTTTATTCTCTTTCTTGAGGCGCCGGCGCGCGTTGGCGAACCAGGTGGACACCTGGGTGAGGGTCATCTTGGTGATGATGGCCAGCATGATCTTCTCGCCCTTGGTGGGGTAGGGGTTCTTGCGATGCTCGTTGAGCCAGGCCTTGAGCGTAGCCGTGGCGTCCCTTGTGGCGTTCTTCCGGTACGCTGGATCCCCGTAAGGGTACGAGCCCAGGGGCGCCGCGTAGGGATGGTACCCCAAGGAGCCCGCCATGCCGGGTGTGTGGTCGTAGGGAGAGCCCTGCGGTGGAGACGCAGAGAGGTGAGTGTGGGCCTTGGTCTCCACTGCCATCGGAACGACCGAAGCACCCTTTTCCCTGCGCTCCCCGGGGTCTGTGGGTGGACGAGGCCCGCACTCCAGCTTCCTCTGGGGCAAGGCTGGCGGGGTTCAGACCTAGGAGCAACTCCTCCCCCTCTTCAGAAGGCAGCGGGGACCTCAATTCCTGGGTCAGGTCCTTCTGGGGCCCCTGAAGCTGTCCCGGCCTCGGTGCCTCCCATAGGCCCCCATCTGCCCCGGCACGTCCGTACCCCGTGAGCAGATCTGGCCAGGGCAGCCCGGCCTCCATCCAGACAGAGGCCTGGGCAACTGAGGCGACTCCGCGTTCCGCGCGGGAGCGGCCGCACGTTGGGCGCAAGGGGGGAAAACAAGGGAAGTAAAGGCTCTTGCTCTTTTTTTTTTTTTTCAACACGCTAACAAATGCAAACAAAAAGCTGAGCCATGCCCAGGCACTCCCACCCTCCAAAATACCACCCCAGACCGAAGTTACGACCCGGCCGAAAAATCCCGGATGCACCGCAGCTCGACCGACTTTTCTGAAATTTAATACCCGCAAATCGGATTGCGAAGATAGGATTACGGATTTGCAACATTTTGGAGGACTAATTAAAGGCTAGGCCAAACACATTTGCGTTGACTTAGCACGCTTCTGCTCAAATTTCGGGTCTATTTCTTTTGAACTACTTTTCCAAAATGGCAAAACCAAAAATATAAAATTTGCAGGGCAGCCCGGAGCTTACGTTTACACCAAATGCTGCTCTTTAATTGCAGCTATCTCTCCCCACAGAACCCCTTCCCGCAAGCTCAGCGATCCGAGCAAGACGCGGCTCTCTTTTCCGAGCAACTCTTGAGTCCGAGGCCTGGGCGAAGCCGGGGGAGACAATCGCCCAAGTTTGAAGGGGTCGCGAAGCTTGGCGGGGGAGGTCGGTGTTGGCGCCTAGGCCCGTGTCCCCCTCCGCCCCCGTCCTCCCGCCAGGACCCTGCTGCCCCTCGCCAGCCGCGGATCCCGCTCACTTACCACGTACGAGGAGAAGGCGGCGGCGGCTGCGGCCGCGGGGTCGGCGCCGTACTGGAGGTGCGAGTTGTAGCCCGGCGAGGGCGCCGTGAAGGCAGTCGAGCCAGCGTAGGGCGAGAACGCGGAGCCCGAAGAAGAGCGGCCGAGCTCATCCGTGCGGGGCCCCGAAATGACGCTGGTGCTGTACGCCGGGCACGAGTAGAGCGCCAGCGAGGCGGACGGCTGGTACAAGTAGCCCTGCGGATAGGACATGGCCACACACGGGCATGGGGCGCGCCGCGCCGCGGCCGCCAACGAGCCGGGCGGCGCCCTGCGAGGGCGAGCGGGCGGGCACCTGGCCTCTGGCTGCCCTGGGCCGCCGCTCTTCTGGCCCCGGCTCCGGGGCTCCGGCCCGCGGCGCCTCCTGGTTGGCTTCCCGCGCGCCTCCGGCTGCGACCGCCGCGCCCGCTCCTCTGCGCGCCTCGCTCGCCCCAGCTGGGCTTTTTTCCCCTCCCCTCCCTTGCTGCTTTCTCTTTTTTCCCCTCGCTCTTTGCACCGGGGGGCTCTGCTTTTGGCTTTGCAAAGGTCCTGCCAAGATGCTAAGTTGGAAATTGAGGATTCTGACGCCTTGTGCGCGCCCGAAGCTCCTCCTTCCCGGGGTGTAGTCGGTGGGAGGACTGGCAGGAGCTTCTGGGCGGCCGCAGCCAACCCGGCCGCCAGGCGCGCCTCGCCCTCTCCCTCTTCCTCCCCGGCTCCCTCTCCCGCTCGCTGGCGTTCCTCTCGCCCCTCCCTAGCGCCCGCCTCCCCTCCGCGGCCCCCCTCTCACCCCTCCTCTTTGCCTCCCCTTTTCCCCTCCCCGGTCTCTCCCTCTCTCTCGCTTTCTCTCAGACTCTCGAGCGCCGGCCCCAGGATGACAATCACATCCCAGGAGCGCCGATCTCTTCCAACTTTCCTCTTCTGCTAACTTGGGGCGGAGTGGCAGTCCCGCCGCACGGCCGGCCCTGCAGCGGGTCCCACCGCTCCGAAGCACAAAGGGAACAAGGCCGCGGACTGTGCGCCGGCGAACGCTCTGCGCTCGCCTAGCCACAGTAGATTGCGGACTTAGCGGATTTCTCGTTCTCCGGCAGGCTGGGCTCCGAGGCCGTTCGTTGCCCACCGCTCTCTGGCGTCTTCCCCAAGCCAGGGAGGCCGAGAGCCAGCTGGAGATCCGGAATGAAAGTCTCTGGGAGAGCCGATGGATGGCCCGCGCCCAGGGCGCAGGAAGTCCGGGATGACTGCCCCTCTGCGCCGGCAGCAGCAGGTGGGCGAGAAACAGGCCTCAGACGTCTGCACGTCTCCGGCTAGCCTTCCTTCTACCGACACGCCGCCGGACGGCGAGGGAAAAGACACTGGTTCCTGGAATTACCGGGGTAGCCTTTTTCTAGAGTATGGGTGGTGGGCAAGAACTGCCAGAGAATCAGCTACACCCGAGGAGGTCTCGGGACCGTCCCCAGCTCCACTCCCACGCCTCTCCGCCTCTTTCTCCCGGCTTTCCAATCGCACGCAGCTCGCACCGCCAAGTCGGTGGTGGTGGAGGGAGCAGGTCCCCTTCCCTTTTGTTCAACTAAGTCGCCTTCCCCTTCGCACGCACTCTCGCACCCGCCCACGCTCCACTGCAAACACTGGGCAGAGCAGTGCCCAACCCAACCACTGTTTGTTCAGCGAGGCGCTGGCGAGGCAAACACACACAACTGAGTCAGAGGCAGAGCCCTTGCCCACGACGGCCACACAGTTAGAATACAAAACAGACCCTCTCCTCTCCTCTCCACCTCCCGCCGCCACAAGCCACGGAAGCACTCGAACTCTGGGACAGACAGGGGCGCTGGTGAACCAGGACAGAGGATGGCACAGGTTTGGGCACGCCGCGGAAGCTCGGGATTTCGGAAACTTCGCATAATGGGGCCACACGCAAGCCCAAGCATAACTATATACAAAGTTTCTCGCATTGACTTTGACGGGCGAGATGTACTTTATTTAGCGAGCTCACACTAACCCACCCGCCGCACCGGCACCCGCTCGGCAGTGCGCCCTCGTGCACGCGCCTTGGCTCCTCCCCTCCGTCCGCTCCCCTCCCCCAGACACCGCCCACCAAGAGGACTGACCGGTTCAGACTACATTCTCCGAGAGCCCCTGGGTCCGCCCAGCCCAGTGCCTGACACCTCCTTCACCTATGATTGGGCCCTGGCCTCGCTGGGCTCCGCCCCCTGGTGACGTAAGCCCGCTTTCCTCCTAGTCTCGGCGCCAAAGGGGCGGGGCGAGGCGGGGCCTCGATCGCGCTATTGTCATGGAGACGGGAAGCTGGCTGCAGCGGCATCGGGGACAGCTGGGCCGAGGTGGCTTCCAGCCGGCCAATGCCTAAGCGAGGCGGAACGCCCCGGGCGGCCCGAGCCTGGGGCAGCGCGGAGCCGACCAGTGGTGGCCTCGCCGGCGGCCTCTTCCCGGGCTCGCGGTGGGCCTGAGTCTTCGCCGGGAGCTCCCGGGAGCAGCGTCCCCGCCCTGCTCCCCTCGCTCCCGCCTCTTGCGGCCCCATGGCCCCTCAGCGCCCGCCCCCGGCTCCGCCCGCCGCAGCGGCAGCCCCTGGCGCTAACGGTCGGTAACGGCCCGCGCGCGCCGCCCGCCGGGGGCTCGCGCCAGCCACGAGGGAGCGTCCGCGGCCCGCGCGCCCGCGCGGCGGAGGAGAGGTGAGCCCCCGCCCGGGCCAGGCCCCCTGGCCGTGCAGTCCTCCCCTCGAGCCGCGTCCCCTGGTGGACCGGACGGACGCGGCGGTGCCCCGCGCGCGACCAGACGTCCCGTGGGCAAGGGCCTGGGCCTCGGGCGGCGTAGGCGCCGAACGAGCCTCTCTGGGTGTCGGCGTTCCGCGGGGGGCGCGCGTGGGCGTGGCCCCTCAGTCCACGCGTGGCCCCTAAGTCGCCGCGGCTCTCGTCCGGGACGCGGCTTTCCGGAGTAGAGCCCTGGAGGTTTGTGCCACCGAGAACCCGAGTCTGTGACACAGACATCCTCATTACATCATCCTGCCACTCCAGCCGTCCCGCTCTTTCTCCCCCCATGCCCGCCCCGTGGCTTGTTTGTTAGTTGGTTTTTAAATTTTTTTAACCCCATTTTCTTGTACTGTCTTATTTTTGGTGTCAAGGACTGGCGAGACTCCTGCAAGATATTGAGGCATTTAGAATGTATGGTTCTGTTGCCGTGGTTGTCACCTCCGCTCTATGTCAAATTTAAGACTCATTTCTTAAGGATGTCTCTATTTTCTGCTTTATTTGCACATTGATGGCTCTGCTGCTCAGCTGGCCACGGCCACCCGGCGTCTGAGATAGAATTGTCTTAATATGAGAAAGGGAAGGGCGGATCATGATTAGCAGGCAGACTGCATGCAGGTAGCGTCTGGCGGGTTTTCTCTGTTTTTATATGAAAGCGTTCATTTTTTTTGCTGGTAAACACGAGCTTTTAACTTTTTGTCTGGATAGTCGAGACCATTTGTTTCGCTGTTCCCTCCTTCTTACTTCCTATTCATCGACTTTTCCGTTTGGAAAGCTGCATACTTGGTAGCGGTAGTTTAATTGGTGCCTTGACTCTGAAGCTTTCTCTTCCAGCAGAGGTGGGATCTGTATCCCTCCCATCCCAGGTTACCAAGAAGACTTTTTCTCCCCTTGCTTTCTGTTGCATTTGTATCTTTCCAAACATTTAAACTTACACTAGGGATAAGTTTGCTCGGGTTGTTTTTAACGTAGGACTATTAAATATTCTCATTTTAAAACTTCCTAAAGGTTTATTGGTTTGTCATGTCTGCACGGATCCAGTTTCGCATAACTCTTAAAATTTAAAGCTTTAAAGTAGGATTCGCAGTTGTATTGCCAAGACATGGCCCTAGAGCTTGTTCTTCAAGTTTTGGCTGTACAGTTGTCATTGTTTCAGTCAAGTGCAAAAGAGGTTATTCCTGTTTATTTAGTGTAATAGCTATTTACAGTTAAAACTTTAAAGACTCATAAAAGTAGGTCTGCTGTATTTTAAAGATCTCATCATTCTTGTGGGAGAGACACAACACCAACACTAGGAAAGGCAACAGATTGCTTCTGTCATATCGCTTTGCTGTTTTGGAGTGTACTTAAAGGATTATGATTGATAAGGCTGTCTTGCCAGAGAATGTTGACACAGGTGTGCATCGTTATCTTAATTAAGATCCTGAGAAAATGTTGTCTATAAATGGTGACATAAGAAGGGCGGCATATTTTTGTACAGTTTTGCTTTTGGAGAATTTAATTGCACTTGAAACCTGTCTTTGAGCTTCCAGATTTTGTGAGCACTTTGGCAACAGAAGTTTTAGAGAGAAATGATAGTTTAATGTTAAGTGTTCTGGCATGGACTAATACTACTTGTGGCTTTTTGGTAATGCCTGTGTCGGTTTCTTTGTGCTCTATCTTTGTGGAATAATGGTTTCTAATTTTGAAAGAAAAGCATAAAATAGAGCAGTATTTTATTAAGCAAACACTTTATTAGTGTTCAGAATAAATCTGTAGAGGAAGGCATGCTTAATGTGCAGGAACAGGAATGTAATAAGAGGTAAATATATGAGAAATTTATGCTATTTCGTTTTTTTGGAAAAGAAGCAGTCTCCTGGGGTGCCTTAATGATCTGAAACAATTTCTTTTTCATATCAAGTACCTAGCTACAATGTTTACGGAATGCCTTGTTTTTATTTCTAAAAATAGAAGAAAACTGTTTTATTTCTTCCAAAATATTGTTCTGTGCATTTGAATTGATGAGTAAGTGAAGATAGTGCATTTAGTCTCTTACTCGTTTAAGGATCTGAGTCATAACCTGGGTGACCACTAAAATAATATTACTGTTCTTCACTCCAAATCTTGGAATGCAAAAACACTGGCAAGATGGATGCTGTTGATTATATTACCCTTGGCTTACCCAGCACCTAATACCTTTTAACATAAGTATTGCATTAAGATTTTCCCCTCTCTTTGTAGCTCATGATTTCCTGGAAGCTGGCTATCAGTGTGTATGTAAGAAGTGTGTATGTTTTTCTTTAATATTAAAACTCACTGTAGAAAGAGGAAATGAAAGTGGAGGAGACCATAGGCATATGATCGGAAAAGCCAGGTGTAGTCACAGCTCATTCTTGACTCCAAGGATAATTAGCAGGTTAGAATTACATAGTAAACTAAAAGAAAGACTTATGTAGATTTGTTTGCTAAAACTAAAACAAGACCATTAGTTTTGAGATAATTGCTTTATTTATCTCCCATAGCACCCCCAATCAAAAAATTTTTTCCCCTCTGGCAGCTATGATGAGCATTCTTATGGTGTTATCCATGTGTTATTTTCAAATTTGATATATTGCATTAAAAGAGATGAAATAGGAATATGAACTAATTGTCCATTTTAACGAATAACTCAATAATTATTACTATATGTGTACATTCTAGAAATCTTAGGAAAAAATGTTCTTTAGTTGATAACAGGAAAGTAAATTAAATCATGTAATCCTGAGTGAATTAAATATGCTCTTCACAATAGATTATGAACATAGCATCATACTTTGGAATAATGTTTTAACTTTGGGATAGTACAGCCTGTTTTGAGTGGTAGTATCTCATTATCTTTGTGTATTTCTCTTCAATATCTCTTTTGTGTTGACTCCTGTATTTTAACATCTTTTTGGTATATTTGTTAGCTGTTTATAGGGAATAATTTTTCTTAATAGAATAGCAGCTGGTGCAACTCTAAGAACATGTCAAATCTAGGAATTCTTTTTTCCTTTTTCAATAATGACTGGTTTGCTTTCATAGCACTACTCCGAAGTGTGATGCTGAAGACTTATTTCTGCATAAATCTGCAGTGTTTTTATAGCTGTAGTATACCTAAACACCAATTTAGCTTAGCAAATTAACTTAGATGCTTCAAAATTGAAAACCAGTATATTCTAATGTACTTTGAGTTTAAGTCTTTATTAGTAAGCATGCACTTAACATTTGTTCGGGAGAAGAGAATGTAATTTTCTCCTGCAGTTGTCATTTCCGTAATCCATTTTTCTAGTCTTTTCTCAGGCTAATGATATTCCACACCTTGATACAGCTTTTATTTGTTTATTTGCCATAATATGGAGTGATACCTTGGAGAAAATTGGATATTTGAATCTAATATCCCAAAAGTATTACTTAGTTTTCTGTGTTTCCTTAAACAGAATCATTTCCATTTTCTGTGCAGGTGATAAGTGTGATGCTTCTGTAATATATTTGGATGTTATCAGGTAAGTTCACTTCTGAACTAAGGGGTTCCTCCAAATGTTGGCTGAAATTTGTCCTTGCACATCCCAAGTCTCGTCTGCAAGTGAGTGTCTGCACACAGTTTGCTTGTACGTGGAGTCAATCCAAAATAGCATCAATGTTGGTTTTACCAAAGTATTTATATTGATAATAGAGGCTAAGTACAAAATGTAGAGAATGTCAGTTACTTGAGGCCTTTGATCATTGAAAATTTTTATTAATTCATTAAACAAGACTACCGTAAATAGAAAAATTTTAGATTCATGAAATAAAACTGAATAATTTATTTTTACTTACTATTTATCATGGAATTACTTTGAATAATTTATTTTTAATGGTATAATTGGACAGTAAAATTTATAAACTCAGTGCTTTTCATAAAAATCAAAGTGAAGGTTGTGATATTTTATACAAATAGAATTATTATTTAAGAGAAATAACCTGTTTATGCCTAATTAGAGTTTTAATCGTTTCAATTACCTAGTTCCTTTAAGAACAAATTTAGTGAGAATATCAGTTCCAGTCAGGGGTACCAAACATTTTTAGTGACAGAGTACACACAGGTATGTAAAACTTGTCATTTCTCATCAAATAGAGACTGCTGAATATAGGCAGATAAGAAAAGCTATGAAAAAGAATTGTTTTGCAGAATATTTGTCTAGTGGTCAGATCTAGGAACTGAATTTATTGACTCAGAACACTTAAGTAAAAAAAAATGGCTTCTTATAATCAAAAAAATAAAAAGTTAATTTTACAGAAGGCAGTAGTTAATATAGCCTCCAATAAAATAAATGTTTCTCTGAATACTTTCCGAGGCATTACAGTGATTTTTAACTAATATGAAGTTATATATAATAATTTTAAAATAACATCCTTGTGTTTTCCTATTACTGATTGCTTATGGAAATTGGGTTTCATGTATGACTGAGAGCTAAAGCATTACAGTGAATTGGAAAACACAACACAAATATAAAGAAAGTGTTAGGCGGTGAGCAATCTGATTCCTTTTTGTTTGCCTTTAAGCTTAGTTTTTTGTTTTACTTTGTTTTAGACCATGTATAAAATTGTTGAATTTAAAACATAAGAGGATTGAGTGATTTTTTTTTCCTCCTAAGGGTAAATGTAGGGAAAATCTAAACACATATGCAGATTGGTTGAGTTTTATATCTGTTATCGGCCATATTTATTAAGATTCATATTTCATGTATATTAAAGGTATTCAAATGTATTAAAATTCTTATATTCTTTCTATGTAAAATAGATGTAGGGGGTTCCCACTCTTGAAAATATGAAGAAAACATGTCCTTTCAGCAGTAATGGGTTTTGGTTGATTAATTGAGAAGGTTGTATTAAACGTTCTCTAGTGGAAATGTCTAAAGAGCATGCTTTTTGAGAAATGTATCATCTAGGAATAAAATCAATTGGAGTATTGGTAATTAAATTGTAATTCCATGAAGGAAGGAAGTTGTGCAAAAGATGTAGCTAACTATTCCTGTTTTTCTCTTTAAGAGTCTACAATTCATAATGGAGCTACTGTACTGGCTATTGGAAGGAGGAGATTCTGAAGATAAGGAGGTAATGTTATCTCTTTTAAAAGAATACTTTCCTCTGTAATCCTGAACCTTTATTACATGTAAGAACTTTGTGCAGTAGACAGCAATTTCTTTAAATTTGGTATATGGAAACAATTTTATTTTCCTCTGCTGAGTTTTTGAGCCTGCCTTTTCTAGTGCTATGGACTGCATTGGTAGAGCTGAGAAATATCATTTAGCCATACTCAGCACCCTTAAAATAGCTTCTTTCTGAGAATTAGATCTGCGAAGATGTCCTGCACAGTTCTTGTAGATGTCATTTTAGTTTGTGGTTAACGTGCATGCATTTAGCATGTTGCTTAACCGTCCTCATTCGCCTCCCAGTTCTTTGTTGCCTTCATTTTAGGAGGAATGTGTTTTCTGCTGGATGATTTACTGCCAGACACGACCAAACTCTGAGTAGAAGACTTGGTGGTTGGCAGCTGGTTCCAGTGCTCTGCTGAGAAGTTAGTTGGGCCCAGCGTGGGGCACTGTAGTGTCCTGGAGGCCAGGAGCTCCTCACAGGGGTCTTTTCCTGGTTCAGAGCCTTAGGTGCCTTTCCATTTTTCATGTAATCTTTTCCTAGGTTGGCTTCCTGCTTGCTTTGCAGCTGTTGCAGGGATTCATATGGAATGGAGGGCTCTCTTTTATTGTGGATTATTTCTTTGATAATTTACCCATGTGCTTTTTCATTTTCAAAAACCCAATGGTGTTTAAGAATCAAAGATTCTTGAAGAACAAAAGTTGGGTTCAATTTGTATCTATGAGAAAAGATTCAATCCTCTGATGCCATGTAGCCACACTGAATATGCAGGCTAAATTAAAAACAGAGAAAAACCTTTTTATAATAGGCCAATTACTATATCTAGGAATGTTTATACAGGCTGAAATTTGGTAATGGTATTTATATCTGTTTTCCTTTTTAAGGGAAATAATATACTTTTCTAGGCATCCAAAATATCTGCCCCTTTCACTAATGTTGACATACCAACTTCCCCCAACCCCCAACACTAAATTTGACTGGCTTAAAAAAATCTGCCCCCTGAACTATATCTGGGGAGGAATATTATTAATAAAACAATGAAGGACTTCATGGTGTCTAGTTTTATAATTAGGAAATTGGTTAGAAACATGGCTAAAACCAGTTTCTTTCATTAAAAGAACTAGTGTACGTTTAAAAACAAAAACCTTCAGGAAAAAGACTCTTTAATCTTTAAGTCAAATAGTATTTTTGGTTAACACAGCAGGAAGGGGAAATATACCAATTTCAGATTCTTTTTATTCATGCCTAAGTAGAGGTTATAAGCAGCTAAGGAAGCGATTAAAATGTAGTCTAGTTAAAAAATGGTGATATCAAAGTGATTACTTGGAAAGCAGTTTACATTTGCAAAAAAATTCAGTATTATGACCTTCACCAACTTTTACACATCATATACTTGGGTTATTATGGGATAGCTTGTGTATGAAATGCAAGGGTATTTTTGAATTGACTAGGTCTTGCTGGTCATCTTAAAATATGTTGCAATATTACAAAGTTGAAATGTAATATTTTTTAATAGAAGGAAAATATAAATTTAATATCTGGGCAATTGAGACCTTTAAACTTACTTTAAAAGTATGATGTTGACATATATGATACTGTTTTGTCTTTGCTACATTAACAGAATTAGAGGGGTGTTCTACAATTCAGATATCTTATATATTAATTCTCTATATATTTATTCTCTATAATGGACTTTTAAAATAAAAGGTGTATGTGCTTCAGAGGGCAAAATTTGAATCATGAGCTAATTTACTAAGCATCAAATTATAGAAAAGCAACCTTGATTAATTTGGAACTGTGAAAGGGGGCAGGTAAAACTGTTTTCAGCTGAAATTTACTAATGCAGCAACCATTTAAATTAAATGTTCGTTAACGTAATAATGATGGCATTTTCTCCTCCCCCTCCTTGTGGTTTTGTCCAACTAGATGTTACAGTGGCAGTTGCACTGACTGTTAAGTGTTTAAATGATGACACCATTATGTGAAGTGATTTTGAAATGAGAGATTCCAGCCAAGAATTACATCTGCTCCCATCTCCTTCAAATCATACTCTCTGGCAGTACAGATTATGATTGATTTGTTTGTGACAGATTGCAGGAAACAGTCATTGATTTTTCAATATTTTACCTTAAAATTATTTACAGTTGTAACCATGGGGAGGTATTTCCATGGGCTGTCAGCCCCTGAAAGACTAGGATAATATTCCCTGCTCTCTGACAAGACAAATTACCTGTAATGAGTGCAGTAGCTGAAGGGTATACTTTTATTTTAAAATATGTCAATAACCCCAGTGACTAAACGAATATTGATTTAGCATAATGAAGCCTGAGTAATGTGAAAATGAGCTTTTTCAAGGGGCATGGTAAAGTCTTTCTTTTTAGCTGGTTATAAGAAGCTTTTCATTCTTTTCAGCTAGCTGGTAGGAATATAGAATTTTATAAGCAAACCATCAGGAATGATAGTGTTGTTTCTGATAAGCAACATCCAAATATGTTGACCCTGCTTTTACTGTTTTTTTTCATTTCTTATTTTCAGTCTTACTTTCAGTCATAGAATAGTTACTGATTTGATGCAGTCTTTAACCGACTTAATATTTTTACAATTTCAATATATTTTGCATTGGAATCTCAAGTAATGAGTATTAAAATATATGTACAATTGTTTGTAGATGATATCATAATTATATTAAGACATTTCAAATGGGCTATTGTGGTATTTAATGTGCTGTATTTTATGGTAGAGTAATTTTCAATCTCTGGACATCAGATTGCTTTCAGTGGGAATGAAGATTAATTTACTTCAGTCCTGATTTTTTAGGCATCAATGCATGTTTTCATTTTTGTCAGACTTTTACCCCCTTTTAATATAATTCTCAACTTTTTATGGGTTTATTTCCCAATACATAAAATCCTTCAAAACAAGAATAATAAATTTTATATTTTGTATAAAAATAAATTTATTTTTAGTCCATCAGGGTATCTAAAGACTTTATGCGTAGGTATCTCCATATCTAACTCGATAAGGAAGGAAAATAGGATAAACAATGCTGGTAATATGTAGCAGAAAAGTAAGTATTTGAACAAGATGTCAAACTGATATTTCATGGAAACCGAACTCATTTTATGTAACTAATAGTAATCTTTTTTAAATCAATAGTAAAACCTGTTTAGAAATTAAAAATGAGTTATGATTTAAAGAAAATTCAGATGACTCATTGTGAGTGCTAGTTCTCTTGTAGGATGCCACTGGAAATATTGAAATGAAAAATACAAGTATATCTTTTGATGGAAAAAAGGATAGTCTCTAGAACACAAAATTACTGTTTTATTTTTTTTCTCAGGAGTTTGCCTAAGGGTGTGACAGATGATCTCTGTCACTTAGTTGTGTCCTGTAATAAACTGGATGCTTTATAAAATACTAGACCTGTGATTTCATATGCTGTAATATTTCATTTCTCCATCTCGCCTCCAAATTATTTCCCCTTTTCTTTAAAAGGACCTTTGAAATATAGAAATATGAAGGATCATCATATGTGAAACTAGTAGCCCAAATTCATCAACCATTAATTTGATTTACAGTTTTTTAAGTCAACATGGTAACCATAGAATTACTTACGTCTTCCAGGGGGAAAAAAAAAAAGATAGAAATTTTTTTCCTCAATAGTTTCTTAATAAAGTTAGATATGGAAAATAAAGCATAAACACAAATGTATGCTAAGAAAAACACGTATATTATTGTTTAGTTTATTTTGGAGTACAATCATAAATGTATTATAGTTACCATCTCCTGACCCCTCTTTAATTTCAACTACACTAAGCATGTGTGTTTGTGTGTTCATTTTACAGTTCATATGTAGAACTATGTGAATTAAATTTAAGAAACATGTAAAGTAGAGGAAATAGTTTTCTGGGGAAATTTTTCCTTTTTGGATATTTTGCCCTTTTCCATTGCTTTTCTCTGCTTGAAAGCAAAAAAAGTACCCTGCCCCTGTTCTCCTTTAGGGAAAAACTATTCCTATAAAGTATTTTTAAATCATATAAGTCATTACCTAGGGTTAGCTAAACATTTGTTTTTAAAAAGGAGAAAATGCCCCTGCTTTAAGATTGTCTTGTATTTGTATCTATTAAGATAAACAGTTTGCTTTGATACGGTACATACCAATCTACTTAGTTAATTTTTTTCCAGAATTCGTTTTACTGTGTTTAGTCTGACCTTTTATGATAACTTAATATGGGAACAAATTAGCATATAATTCTATTTTCCATGTGACCTCAACCAGTTGCAGAATTGTACCACCACTTTTGGGGGGCAATTTGATAGTTTATGTAGACTATAGCATTAATTGTTCCCAAATGTTCAGTGCATCCTGGCTAATGTGTTATTGAAGGTGTTTTCACGTAAGCAGTTAGAGGAAGCACTTCACCCCTATGACTAAGTTATTAAAATGCCTCCTAAAGGTAGCATTTTAAATTAGTATACATAATTGATTAGTAATTTGTCTTCTCCCAAGCATAAAATAGCATAGCAGAGTTAAGTGTGACCAGTGAAGTATAAGATATTAAGAATTGATGGTGACAATGATCATGGTAACTAAATGGATTTTTTTTTTTTTTAATTTTAGATTCAGCGATCGGTCTTTGAAATTTCCTGTGATGTGTTTCAATCTAGATGCAAAGGACATGGAAAAATCAAAGTGCTCGAGTGGTTTAAATATGTTTTGGATGTTCCTGTTTGTAGACGATAATACTTTTCCAATTAGAATCCTCAGTTGTCATGCAGAAGAAAGTTAAGCTCTACTTGATTGCCAATTTTACTGAAAATGCTTAGTATTTTACAGTATCACTGAATATATTTTGTATAGCCAAAGTATAGGAAAAAGAAAATAAATTGTATAGGTTGACTTTTTTCTAAAAATGTCTTTTTTCTAAAAATGTCTTTATTGGATTGAATGTTTATGCCTGAAAAAAAAAGGTTCAAAAAATTCCTTTTACCATCATAGTCATTCTTTTGACAATCAGTTATTATTAGACTCGATTTAAAATAATTTTCTAATATGACTCTTACATTTATGGGAGGAAAAAGACTTGAAAGATACTCCTGTGTGTATTTTAATTCTCTGTAGTAGTCCCTCTGGAATAGAATGTCTCTTCCTCAAACAAATCTATTGGCTCATTTCATATATGAGAAAAAGTTGCCCTAACTGGCAGAGTTTCATCTCTGTAAAGAAGGCTGACATCCACCTCCTTCACAGAATCCTTGCATCTGGGTAATTGAGTAATGACAGATTACCTTGCCATTGGGAAATACCTTGTTGTGGCCTTTGTAGCAGCTACAGGAAGATGGAAGAATTCTTCTGTACAGACAGGTCTCCAGCCTCTTTGGTGTGGACACTGTGAAGGGGTACATCTGGTGAGAAGGAGTGCTTAGGGAAGGAACTGGGAAGGTCCACAAAGGCTGATGATGACAAAGAATCCAAGGGCTATGATGAATTCTTAAGCTTAGATCTCAGAGTCATAAAGTAAATTTATTAGGCTAGAGAGATTTCCTTTTTTATTTTTGATCTAACTTTATTTTTTCAGATTTATAAGTTCACATGCAGTTGTACAAAATCATACAGAAATCTTTGAACACTACCCAGTTTCTCCTAATAGTAACTTCTTGCAATATACTGTATAGTACAGCATCACAACCTGGATATTGACATTGATGCAGTCAAGATAGAGAGCATTTCTATAACCAGGAGGATCCCTCATTACTGCCCTTTTATAGCCACCCCTACTTCCAGACCATCTCACTCCTCCCTTAACCCTGGCAACCACTAGCCTGTTCTCCATTTCTATAAATTTGTCTTTATAGGAATGTTATGTAATTGCAATTAAAGTGTGTAACCTTTTGGGGTTTGACTCAAACCCAGCATCATTTTCTGGAGATTCAGCTTATATGTGTCAATAGTTTGTTCCCTTTTTTTCAGTTCAATAATATTCTGTGGTATGCATGTACCACATCACTCATCAATTAGAACTTCTGGGTTGTATCTGGTGTTTGATTATTACAAATAAAAGTGCTATATATATTCGTGTAGAGGTTTCTGTGTGAACATAAACTTTCATTTTCCTGGGACAAATGCCCAGGAGTGAAAATTGTGAGTCATATGGTAATTACATAGAGTATTTTTTTTTTTTTTTTGAGACTTGAATTGATTTTGTGTCTGTGAGGGGGGAGGCAAGGAGAAACTCTATATTTTTGTAGTGTTTTTAACTAGATTTGTTTATGATTTTAAAACATAAAATCTTAACATAAGTTGTAGCCAAATATAAGAAAGGATTTTTCCAGAATCTAGACTTTATTCTTATTTTAGAGAAATACTTCTGAAAAAATTGCTTTATTGGCAAACAATTCCTATGTAAAGAAATAAAAAGACACATATATACTCTAGGAAAGATGTTGCAAAGCTGACAGGCGACTTTGGGAAATTTGAGGGCAGTTTTCCAGTGTTACTAGAGACTTGACATTCAAGGATGTATTATGATAGTTTCTGAATTGATAGACTCTTTAGCGTTTGTCACTACCCTCAGGCCTGCAGTTTTTATTTGTAGAATTAACTCATTATCTTTACAATGCTTTGGTGAGTGCTGTTGCAGAAAATGCTCATTTAATTCAATTATATACACTTACTAGGAAAAAGAAAAAGTATCTTTTTCTAGTACATGGCCCCTAAAAATGACAGCTTTACACAATGCTGAATGGAGGAAACAGCTCTGTTTCCATCAAACTTCTGGTGGAAATTATGCAAAGTTACGTTATGCTCTCTGAGACATAGTGAGGTAGTACACAACCATGTATGCTATATTACTGGGGAGACCCACTGAAATAATTTTCAAGGATAATTTTTACTCTGATTTTCCATCATGTATATTGACTTTATTGATTGATTGATTGAGATGGAGTCTCACCCCATCGCCCAGGCTGAAGTGCAGTGGTGCAATCTCTGCTTACTGCAACCTCGGCCTCCCAGGTTCAAGTGATTCTTGTGCCTCAGTCTCCTGAGTAGCTGAGACTATGGGCGTGTGCCACGACGCCTGGCTAATTTTTGTATTTTTAGTAGAGACAGGATTTGCTAGGCTATTCTCAAACTCCTGACCTCAGGTGATCCACCCACCTCGGCCTCCCAAAGTGCTGGGATTACAGGCGTGAGCCACCGTGCTGGCCATGTATATTGACTTTAAAATGTTACCAGCTGGGCGCCGTGGCTCACGCCTGTAATCCCAGCACTTTGGGAGCCCGAGGCGGATGGATTACCTGAGGTCAGGAGTTCGAGACCAGCCTAACATGGTGAAACCTCATCTCTTCTAAAAATACAAAAATTAGCCGGGCGTCGTGGCAGGCATCTGTAATCCCAACTACTGGGAAGGCTGAGGCAGGAGAAGTGCTTGAACCCGGCAAGCAGAGGTTCCAGTGAGCCGAGACTGTGCCACTGCACTGTAGCCTGGGCAACAAGAGAAAAACTCAGTCTCAAAACAAAATAAAACAAAAGTTACCAAGGATGAAACATTGGACTGCTCACAGTGATCCCTCTAACAGCAGTCAATATTATAAATCTAGCATTTTTTTGAGTGAGATACTAGGCACAGGGAACCCCAGTCTTTCAATACTCATGAAATATAGTTTAATCTTTAGCTCATTATGGTCATGACCATAGTGAAATAAATGACACAAGATAATAAAATAGTCTTTGCCCTTAAAACTGACCTGGGTAAAAGGATGTACACATCTTTGAATACCAGCACAGTCATTCATTCTTAGAGCCATGTTGTAGCATCCCATGTTCTGGCCCTTCCAGCACTGGGAACTCATCATGAAGGCCCTACAGGCCAGGCGCTATGGCTCACGCCTGTAATCCCAGCATTTTGGGAGGCCGAGGCGGGCGGATCTCCTGAGGTCAGGAGTTCAAGACAAGCCTGGCCAACATGGTGAAACCCCATCTCTACTAAAAATACAATAATTAGCCAGGTGTGGTGGCAGACGCCTGTAATTCCAGCTACTCAGGAGACTAAGGCAAGAGAATCGCTTGAACCTGGGAGGCAGAGGTTGCAGTCAGCTGAGATTGTACCATTGCACTCCAACCTGGGGGATAAGAGCGATCACCTGAACCCAGAAGTTCGAGACCAGTCTGAGCAACATGGTGAAACCCTGTCTCTACAAAATACAGAAAAAAAAAAATGTTAACCAATTTTTTTAACCTCCCAGCTACTTGGGAGGTACTTGGGAGGCTGAGGTGGGAGGATGGCTTGAGCCTGGGGAGGTCGCAGCTGCAATAAGTCATGATCGCGCCACTGCACTCCAGCCTGGGCAATAGATGGAAACTGTCTACACACACACATACACGCGAATGACTTTTGGTAAGATTATACATAGAGTTTACGGCTTTATTAAGAAACTCCTGAACAACCTAAGAAAACACAGTTATTTCTGTACATTATTTTGTTAAAGTGTACAGGGTAGTAAGAGCTAAGAGCCTTTTCTAAATGTGCATCCAATCTTAAGAGGCTAAAATAGGAAGCTTTCATATAGCCAAGGCCCCATTAGCTTGGGAACCTGGAAAACAGAAGATGTAAGTTTCTATCAGAGTTTCTTTAAATTTATGTAAATCATAAATTTGAGCAAGGTGGTTATAAAAGACATTAAAATTAAGATACTCAGGATTTTATATGTAATAATATTGATTCCAATATCTTCAACTCTGTGGCACTGCCAATGAGGAGACCAAAATGAATTGTATTTTATGAAAGGGCTGTATTAGACCAGTGACTTAAAAGTTCCAAGTACATATAATGACAAAGCATTGTGGAATCATCTTGTACTACTGTTTATGTAGTAGTTAAAAAAGTAAAATAAAAAGAAAATGGTGCAATTTTAGACAGTTTAAAAAAATTTTACAAATACTGCAAATCATAGGTTGGTTACCACTAGACTTCCTGACTCTGCAGTGGTTGCTGTATTCACCGTACATTCTTTTAAAACACCAGGCACTTTATAATTTTGTCTATAATTGTTTATATATTTTTTCTCCACAACATGTTTTAGAACAACTTATTGCTAAGTTACTTTAACATATGTGCCATCTTTAAACTTTGTATATGAGTGTACTAAAGTTTCAGTTGCAAGACACATCTATGCACTATTTTTTTTCAGGAGCCTATTTATTCAAACTACCTTTTAAATGCAGTGCATAAAAATAGCAGGCTACTTCCACTTGCAGGCTTTTGGAGCTGGAGAAGACTTGTTTTTCAGATGAGGAAACAGTCCCAGCAAGGTGAAATGACTTGCCGGTAAGTGATACGATTAAACTTATTTTTTGACTCCAAAGCAAATGCTGCCAACTTAAAGATGCTTGTCCCAACTTCTGGAAATTCACTGTATCAGTGTTTGTCTTACAACCCCATTCTTAATAATAGTTTCTTCACATTAGAAATAAATGTCAGAAATAAATGTCTACTTGCATTTGTACATGTCATGCAAACATTTTGGCACCAGATGTGGGTACAAGTAGAAAGCAGCACGTTCATCTCAGAACTGGATTTTATCCAATAGAATGTTCTGTTTATTCATTGCTATTCATGCATACCTGCTGTGTTTTAACATTGTGATAAATCCAGGGAATCAAATATGAATACAAATATTCCCTGAATTCAACAAAGTAGGCATTGACTCTGGCCAGGAGACAAAATGTTAAATGGCATGCAGTCTTTACCCTGGCAGAACTTGAAGCTTATCACCTATTGTAGAGATGAAGCCATAAACAGATCATTTCAGCACAGCATGATAAGGGGGAGCTCCAGGGATCATGGGAGTACATGGGCCCAGTCACTAATTAAATCTAATGGAGTGTGGGCAAAGTTAAGGAAGGCTGCCTAGAGGAGAGAGCATTGGGGTTGAGCCCTGGCAGGAACAGGGTTCCAGGCAAGGGGAACAAAGACCAATGACAATGGAGAACCTTGGAATAGTTCAGTGTAGAGGATTATGAGGGATGTAAGCAAAGATGGGAGAGAGGGAAAAGAGCAGGCACAGGCAGGGGCAAGGCTGTGAAGGGCTTTTATATGCCTGGCCAACAAACTTGCATTTCATCGTGTGAACAGGGGGGCTCTTTAAGGTTTTAAGCATTTACCTGACCAGGTCTGCATTTTAAATATATCACTTTGGTGGTAGCATGGGGCATGCATTAGAGGCCAGCAAGATTGGATATTGAGAGATCAGTTAGGTTTCTGCAAGTAGTTGTTGGCCTGAGCTAAGAGTGGCCAGGGAAAGGAGAAAGATCTGTGAATTGATGGGAAATGCTCAGATGCTAGAAATAAATGGACTTGATGACTGATTCCATGTGAGGGCAGAGGAAAAGCATATCAATGGCATCCAGCGTGCTTAAACAATTAGGTTGTGGTGGGATGGGGATGTTTTGAGTTGGGACCCAGGAGAATTAGGTCTAGAAGGAAAAAGATCCATGTTCAGTGTGGGTCCAGCAATTGGTTTTGAGGCGCGACTGAAATACCTAAGTGTTTGGAATCTATTCTTTCATATTGCTGCATCTTTTTTCCTCTTAAAGAGCAAATTTCTCAAGAAATGTGTCTCCTTTCATTATTTTTATTTATTTTTTGTTTTGTTTTTGTGTAATACAGCTGTCATGGTCCTGTGTAAAGCCAGTTGTGAGGCAAACTGTTCAATATTATTGGGCAATGTTTTGAAAAAGATGGGGTTTGGGAGTATATGAAAGAAGGAAAGAGAAAGAATGTTCCTAGCTCTAGTTGTCCCGTAAGCATTTCAATGAATTAAATGTAGTAAATTTCTATTGTGCATAGCAATTAGTAGATGGAGAGGAGTGAAACATTTCAGGGACAAAAAGCATTTAAGAATATTTTTGTTTTTAGAAATTTGATGAGTTTGGTTACAACATATGCTCAAATGATTAGTATCTTCAGGTTTTCATGTAATGTTACCTGTGTCTTATTACTTCAAACAAACATTCTACAAATACAGTCGTGCACTGCTTCACGATGGGGATAGTTCTGAGAAGTGCTTTGTTAGGTGAT